GAGCTTGGTTTTAGGGAAATGATGGCAGCCACCTCGAAGCTCTGGAGAAGGACTGCAGGTCAACAATGTCTACATTTCTCCAGAGGGCCGGCCCTTCACGGAGCCTATCTGAAGCTGCTGTGTCTGACTTACCTCTCACCTCCTGGGAGCCTTTGAGAATGAGTTTTCAAGGGTAAAATTTAGCCCTTCTCTCTCAAAGTGGTTTTTTTTTTCCTAATAGATCCAGGCAAGCTCACTGTCTGGGGTCTTTATATAATATGTTGTCAGCTGTTAGGCCTTTTCCACACTGGCTTTTTATTATCTCTGATAGGTAACCTTGGATCTCCTGAGTTGGCTCAGGAATTTCTCCATGAACCACCCCTCAGCAGCCTGTCTAAAATGCACACTGGGGGATAATCAGGGGAAACCACTGGACTAGAAATGCCCGGACCAATTTTCTAGAGAGTAAGAAATCCTTAGAGTCTACAACCCTATGTGCTTCACCCCAGCCAAGGAGACTTGCAAATCTGGCTCCCGAAGCCAGGTCAGACCCTCTGTACCTGCAAGGGCCTGGCTAGCCTTTTGCCAGGTAATCAACATCACCCTCGGTTACCTGATGTATACTAGGCTCTGGCCTGGCTTCGGGAGCCACTATGGTGAGGAAGGTGCCATTCTTCCATCTGCAAGGTGCACACGTTGGTCGAAGAGACAGACATTCAGATACATGTCAGCTTAATGTGCCACTTCTCCATGGATGACAAAAATATGCAATGCATGTTCACAGAAGTCCAATCACTGTCTGTGATACCTACCTGGATGCTTCCATTCATCCCAGGAAGATGAGCCTCCTGAGCAGGCAGGGCCTGTGGTAGGGGCAGGCAGCCCCTTTTCCTTTGTTAATATGGATGGAGATTGGCAGCTTTAAAAAGTGTCTTTGAGGAATGTTTGTTTATGAAAGATCACTCACTGGGCTTCAAAACTTAATATTAACTTTATTAAGCTTTCAAAAAAAGGGGCATTCTTACTCAAGCTTGTATACTTTGTTCTGTTAGTGAAAGTCTAGCAAGAATTAGCAATTATAAGAAGATCTAACCCAATTTTTAAAGTTAGAGATTTTCAAAGGACCTCATAATTTTGATAGGTTCTATATTCAGTTCTTTGATTAACAAACAAAATTTCCTGAGTGCTCAAATATAAATCTAATAGGTGATATTAAACTCATAAACACCACATGGTTTTATGGCATTGTAAATGTTTAAGTGCTACATACTAATCTAAGACAAATTATCTTAAAGCTATTGTATTTGTAAATTGTTCATTTTAATTGTAATCACAAAGTTGAACTGTAATACCATTAAACCAAATGCTCTTAAATAAAAAATTATGTGAATGATACATTTATAATTTATTAAATGTACCATTATTTCATTTTTTGTTAAACTGAATTAAAATATGTATATCTATTTAAGTATTAGCAATTGTTAATTCTAAGTAGTTGAATTTGGATTTATTTTAATTTTTTTTTACTTTAAAAAATACATTTTTATTGTTATTGTATTGGTGATATACAGAGGTGTTGCAGTTACATAGACTACCTGACTTATGTAACTGTAACCCCTTCTCTTATTCTCTCCTAGTTTTACCCTCCTGACTCCACCGTTAACTTGTATAGTTCATTTTCAACATAGTATGACTGCTGCATTTGTTCACTCTTTGTCACACCATTTCTGTGCTCCTTCCTTACCCTCCCCAAACAGATAAACTTAGAAACAAGACAAACAGTAAAGAAAATAAAAACAGTATCAAAGGAAAAAAATCTCGTTTCCATTTCTTGGAGTTCATTTTGATAAATATTATATAATCAGATGCACTTAGGTATTGAGCCTTTGTGATCCCCTCCTGAGAATATTCTCCTTTGATCTCACTGTATGAATGTCTACAGACCTGTTTCATTTATCATGTCCCAGTATAGAGTTTTTTAACTGTCCAATATGTTTACTTGTAGATTTATAGGCACATTCTAGTTACCACAAATGAAGGAAAACATTCAAGGCCACACTAAAGCTACCAGCACAACCATGGTCATTGCAGCATTATTTGCCATAGCCAAAATACGGAATCAACTCAGATGCCTCTCAGTGAAAAAAATGGATAAAGGAAACGTGGTATACATACCCAATGGAATTCTACTCCTCCACCAGAAAGAGTGATATTGTACCATTCACAAGGAAATGGAAAGACTTGGAAAACAATTGTATTAAGCAAAGTAAGCCAGACCTAAAGAAACATAGTCAGCATGGTTTCCCATAATTTCTTTGTTCAAACCTTTCTTCATATTCTCAATTCTTTGTATCAGTCATCAGTCCAGGGAAAGTAATAAGTAAAAAGACTTTGCTAATATCATTCTAGGGTTGTCCCCATGCTTGGAATTATGGGACAGTCCCAGATGCTGTGGCCCCTGTAGTCTCTTCAAGGACTTTCTGGAGCCTAAATCCACCCAGTCACTGAAGCAGGCCTCGGGGGAATGAACTTTCCAGGCTTATTAGTGTACACACACTTCTTATATCAGATTCTGGGGCTTATGTTTCTTTCTTTCTTTTTAACAAAGATGGGGAATTTAATGCAGAACCTTTTTTTCAGATTATTGTGCAGATTCAAGTTTAATTGGAGAAATATATAGAGTTGAATCCATTCTCAGGAGACTTAGTGAATGAGTTCAGTATGGCTAATAATTGCCCCCTATTATCTAAGTGGCTAAAAGAATGATGAATAAATAAATACATTAGTGATAAAATGAATTAGAGGCAAGCTCTGAGTGTGCAAATGCATGCTCCAATGAATGAGGACAAAAATTATAGAATGACTGATTGACAGATACAAGAACTAACTGGATAAGTGAATGAGTGAGAGTCAGATAACTGCCTGTCATTGTGAGAAATTAATTGATTGGCTGAATAAAAGATATAACTGAATGGAGGAAACAAATTGTTGACAGTATATGGCTGACTAAATTGTGATTGAAAGAACAAATAATATTTTTGCAATAAAAACATTTTTTAAAAAGGAAGGAACAAAGAAAAGAATAAATGAAAGAGGGAACAAATGACTGAATGGAAGGACTGGCATGTGTAATACTGACTGTGTTGATTATGTGTGTGAATTCATTGACTCGATGGTCATCTAAAACAAGAAAATGAATAAGTGACTATAATAAATGAGAGAATGAATGATTGAGTGAATGGATGAATGCTTGGTCTGGAAGGAAAGAGTCTTTCCTTGGAACTCTTTTTTCCCTTGAAGTTGTCATGTCTCATTTCAACACCACACTTCATTTCAGCCCTGCACAGCCCTCCTAAAATATACCATTGGTGCTACTATCCCAACTTGGCCATATTCTACTTCATCCTGTGGCTGGAACCTGAACTTAGTTCTTCATATTAGGACTTTTCAGCCAGCTTGACTTCTTTAGAATCTTATGATACCTATTACCCTGAGTTATATTTGAGTTTACAATATTCCATTTCTTTCTGAATACTTCAGGAATGATTCAGGTCCTGGGAATACAGTCATAGTCTGGGTCCTTCCCAGAGCCTGGTGGAAGTCAAGTCCTTTGGACCTTATGTTTGAAGAACCAGCTGCAGTGATTGCTCTGTCTGGAGGTCTGAGCTGGTCCACCTCAGCACCTGGGCTTGGTAATCCATCCCCAGCAACAGGATGCTGCGAATGATATCTATTTGAATGACTTCCAGACACAAATCTACTTTAGAATTCTTGTTCCTGCTCACCCTTCTATGTTTGACCCACCTGGTTTTATTCATATTTCCCTAACTTACTTGAAGCAGATTGATCCTTCAAAGAATTGGAGTTGAAAAAAACTCCTTCACAATGACGTATTCACATCCAGCATCTGGAGTGGGTCCCCTGCCCCTCCTCTCCTGCTAACCAAAGAGGTCCCCACCCCCAGCCAGAAGAGACTGCCACAGGAGACTATGTTCTGTCAAAAGATTTGTTAATTGGGAGCTCACTGTACACCTCTTGCTCATCAGTTTCAAATCACAGAGCAGACCTGTTGTCTGTTTACAGTTGTTAAAGGAACATTTAAGAAGGGCATTTATTTTTTTAAATGCTCAGAGGTTACCCACAAATTTCAGAGTGAAGATCTGCCAAAATTTATGGCGAAGAAGCTGAAAATAGATGCAGTGTTTATTCATCAGCAGCCGCTCTGGGTGTGTTGTTAGCTATTGGCATAGGATTAGAGCGTCATCTGAGGGGGCCAGGCTGGAATGAAGGTAGGGTTAATGTGACTGAGGAGACAGGGCCTGGCACCCGTGTGAAAAATCACCCTGCCAGGCTCAAACCTAATAAACAAGAAATTCTAATTACATGTCAATGTTCCCCTTCAGGATTTGCAGAGTGGGTTTAACTCCTCAAGGGATCTTTCATGTGTGAATAGTCAATCTGATCTTGCGAGTATAGCAGGTGAGATGAGACTTCAGTTTGTCCTGTCTGTCTTGATGTCCTGCTTTCCACCCTCCCAGGATCCACAGTCTGCTGGAGTGTACTCCCATACCTATTTTATTCACTGTGCACTTTGTCTGGGACATGAGTAGCATTTGATGAATATTGTTGATGAAGTCAGTAAATAAACAAATGTCAAATCCAATCCATCCTCTAAGGCTGATCTCAAATTCCCATCATCCCTTAATCTTTTCTGACTCTGCTTCTAAAATAGCAGAGAAGTCTCAAGAGCCTTACTTAGAGTCCTGCTTACTTAGTGATCTTCACAGTTCTTTTCATGAGTGTATATTTTAGCTTCTCTCCTTCTGTTTCTTCTTCATCATTACAACGATCTTCTCCATCGTCAAAAGTGAAGGCTCTTGGGCATTGTCCATGCCAGTTATTCCCATAAACTCACCACACTCTCAGTCTTTATAAGACTCCATTATATAGCTTTCTATTACCTTCAATGGTCAGGTGGAAAAACGGAAACACACAGAGGTTCAAGGATAGCAGTAGCATGCTTGCTTTAGCAGCACATATGTTAAAACTGGAATAGTAGAGAAAAGGTTAGCATGGCCCCTGTGCAAGAATGAGACACAAATTCATGAAGCAATCCTTATTTTTGTAGATTTAAGGGAGAATTCAAATAGTTTAAATCCTTAGAAAGGCAAAGTCAAAGTCCAACAAAATGAACACCAGGAAATGAGTACTTGAAAGGGGTGGGGTGGGGGTCAGGAGAGGCACAGACAAATGAAGAGGAAAGGTGAGGAGAGAATGCAGTCAAGAATTTTCTGTAGGATGGGGCTGGGAAGGTGGCTCGTGGTGGAGCGCTTGCCTTGCATGCCTGAGGCCCTGGGTTCGATTCCTCAGCACCACATAAGCAAAAAGAAAAAAGCCGGAAGTGGCGCTGTGGCTCAAGTGGTAGAGCACTAGCCTTGAGCTGAAGAGCTGAGGGACAGCGCCCAGGCCCAGAATTCAGGCCCCACGACCGGACTCCCAAAAAAAAAAAAAAAAAAAGAATTCTCTGTAGGTTAGCTTCTTGTGGCTCATGCCTGTAATCCTAGCTATTCAGGAGGCTGAGATCTGAGGATGATGGTTTGAGGCCACCTGGGGCAGGAAAGTCCATGAGATGTTTATCTTTAATTAATCATTAAAAAACTGGACGTGGCACTGTGACTCAAAGTGGTGGAGTGATAGTCTTGAGTGAAAAAGTTCAGGGACAGAGCCCAGACCCTGAGTTCAAGTCCCATGCCAACAAAAAAAAATCTGTATAACCTACAAAATGAAGAACAGTAAGTAAGGGGTGGCAAGATGCATTGTGTTCAGAAACTGCTTTATAAATGGTGACTCCTTTGTATAACTACTATAGGGTAATTTTTAAGTAGAGCAAGAGTGTCTACTTCTTTAGAAACTTACTGTTGCTAGGCACTGTTCCTATCATTTTTTTTGTACTGATGTTGGACCTTGGAGCCTTGCCCTTATCAAGCAGCTTCTCTAACCACTTGAACCTTGCCCACTTAACAAAAAATACAGTCTCACCTTTTTACTTGTGCTAGTATAAACACTTCTCCACTATTAGATTATTGGGGAAATAAACACTTTTTAATATCCAGTAGGAATGTGGTATGTGTCTTACTTTTCTGCTCTTTCCCATTCAGCTATAGTTCCTTATCTTTCACCAGGTGATCTCCATCTTCTAATCTTTAGTTCACCGCCCAACCTGCCCTTGCCTTGCTTCTGCCCCCAGCACTTTCCTGAGAGTGAACTCCAGTCAATGTCATCAAATGGCCTGTGGACTGTTTTATGTATTGGTCTCCCTATAGCCCACCTTATACTGCCCTGGACTATAAAAGGCAGTCTCGCTGTATTTGTGAAATTAAAGCAAATGGAAATGAATCGAATTGGAATATATCCTGAAGCATTTTATACCTCTGATTTCTCCCCTCTTTTTCTTGAAATTCTTTTGTGTCTTGGTCCCCACGGCTTTTTTAAAGGCGATTCTCCGTGTATGAATGTTCCTTCTTAGACGTCATTCATTTTCTTCATCTGTCTTCTGTTCTTCAGCTCTTTTCAGACCCCTTGTCTCCTGCCACTCCGTCATCACATGCACCCCCGAGACTTTACTGCCATTTTATACAAGTTTCCACTCCTTTCTCCTAAGTTCCAGACATGTATCCAAATATATTACTAAGGATAATTTAAGATATGCTGAAGTAACAAATAAATGAAATAAAATTTTGCATATAGCAAATACATATTTTGATAGAGCAAATACATATTTCTTGCCTGTGATAAACATCTACCATAGTTCTTTCCTCTTCCTATACCTGTCCCCTCCCCCTCCACTCCTTTCTTCCCCCCCCTCCTACTTCAAATAATGACACTAAAAGCAAGATACCACAGTGACTCACGCTAAGAAAATAACTCAAACTTCTGATTCAGTCTCCTTGTGAGGATGAGTTATATCTTTAAGCTACATGTGTTGAACCCTCAAATATTTGAAAACATTTTTTCAAATGTTTGGTTTGTAATTTCTTTTTCTTGCAGACAAATTCTTAATAGAGCAGACAGGTTAAAGGAGTTTTGATTGAGGGGATTGGTGGGCTTGGGAGAGATGGGGGAGAATTACAAAAGGGGGAGATGGATCAAGGTACACTGTACTTATAAACTGATACATTGAATTGAAGCTCCCATGCACCACCACTTAAAGATAATTTACAAAAGAAGTTTTGAAACGCCTGCTAGCTGCAGTTTTCTGACCTGGGAATTACAATGCTTGAATCCCATTGGTGGTTTTCCTTCTTAAGCTCCCCCAGCAGATTCCATGGATATGGTGACTCCTTCTAAGGAAAGGGTAGCGTTAGAACCATTGATTGGATCCTAACTTTGTTACAACGCCCTTCTTGCCAATTCATGAATCCAGGACAACTTTTGAAAGCATTCCATTTGACACAGTCATCATCAAGGAGCACAAGCATGTGTGAAGAGCGTGATTTGGGCAAGTGTAATACTCTGTGGACTTGGTATGGTCAATACCAAGTGTCTTTGTGTTAGAACAAGGTAAACCTGCAGGATGGACACGAAACAAAGGTACTGGAGCCAGCCGTCATGTTGAAAACGTTTCATTTATTTTCTGCCTAGGAATCCTCAGCCAGAAAACTGGTTGGGAAAGGCAGAGGTCAGAAGTCGTCACCTGAATGGTACGCAAGGAGGGAACGTCAACTTACCGAGATGGGAACTTAATCTGTCTCTCTATATTCTTTATCTTCCTAATTTTTAAAATTATTTTTATTTGATTTGATTGTAAAGGTGATGTACAGAGGGGTTACAGTTACATAAGTAAGATAATGTCTACATTTCTTGTGGAATATTGTGACCCCCTCCCTTTCCTAATATATATATCTATATATAGATATATATATTCTTTTGAGTCAGGATATTTTCTTGAACACTGGCCTTGAACACATCATTCAGCACAGGCCAGAATCAAACTCACAATCCTCCTACCTCAGCTCCCCACCATCCCATCCTGAGTGCTTGAATTACAGGTCTATGCTACAATGCCCATAGTATAAATTACTGAGTTAAGACCTCCTCCAGGCTGATACTCAGGACAGATAACTGAATATAAACCCCACAATTTCACCCTAGGGTGGGTCCAGAATGGGGGAATCTAAGCTCCTTACCTTATGTAGCCTTTGGCTTAGCTGTTCACATTGGCTGAGTATCCTGTGTGGAGAAAAACAAACAAACATACATCAAGTTTACTTACATTTTTCTAGACCACAATGGTGAATGTGTGGTTAGAAATCTACAGTTCAATTTTCCCTTATTGTTTTTACGCAGTATACCACTGAATCAAGGCCTGCTTTAATTGAATGACTGGGTGATGAGCACTTTGACCCAGGGATCCCATGCGTGATCACAGGCTCTAGGGCCAGGCCACCTAGACTGGATCTCAGCTTGGAGTTTCTTAGCCACTTTCCCTGGAGTAACTTGGCCTTCCTGCACCCATGTTTACATCCGTGAAATGGGGGCAATACCTAATTTACCTGATGTGGGTTACTGTGAGTTAAAGTCTGCAAAGCATAGTAGTACATCCTAGCAGTATGTCCTAGAACTCTATTCCAACCTTGATTTTCACAGGACCCAGAGTACCTCCTGCACTCGGGCATTTGTGTGTCTGGCAGTTTTACTGAGAATCTAGAGAGCTGAGGATCAAAACAGGGATCTTGTGAATGTGCTGCCTGGCATCCCTGAAGTCTTGTGGTTCTCACTGAATTTCCCAGCTTTGATTCAGCTCAGAGTGCTCCTCTTTCTGCCTTTCCCCTTCTATGACCCCGAGGTTGTAGAGAATAGCATTTGCTAGGTGACATTTTTTTCATGTTCTTGGGGAGCCCCAGATGTGCCTGTGGTGGTGGGGAGATGCTGTAGAGTCTCTACTCATCCTCAGAATGCTCACTTCATATGGAGCAACAAACTACTTTTTAAGTGTGAAGATGTCACAAAAACTGCACAGGGGGGCTGGGAAGGTGGCTCAGGGCTGGGAAGGTGGCTCAGTGGTAGAGTGCTTGCCTTGCATGCATGAGGCCCTGGGTTCGATTCCTCAGCACCACATAAGCAGAAAAAGCCAGTAGTGGAGCTGTGGCTTAAGTGGTGAGCACTAGCCTTGAGCTGAAGAGCTGAGGGACAGCGCCCAGGCCCAGAGTTCAGGCCCCACAACTGACCAAAAAAAAAAAAAAAAAACTGCACAGGGGTTATACATAGACTGAAACTATAATTTTGTTTTCCTGAAATTAAAATTTAACTTGGCCTCCTGGGATGTTAAGTGCTAAATTTGGCTGCTCTGTCATTCAGGCCCTTCTATTTTGCCCTGCACACGTTCTGTGCTGATTGCATCTTTATTTCTCTGTCTCCCCAGTCCCATGAATGCAGGGCTAACCTCTCACTCACCGTCGTGTCTCCAGCATCCAAGCAGAACCATAGCAGTTCGTGGGTGGCAGTGTGTATTTGTGGGACATGTGGTACCAGGAGTGTCACACACCAATCTCAGCACTTCCACTCAACTACATGGCATTTTTACCCTGAGCTCTCTGCCCCTCCCCTCCACAGCTTCAAGAAATCCCAGCGTCTCAGGGAGGTTTGGGAACTGTGAAAGGTCATTGCTCTCCAATCTATACTGATTTGGGTCACCATTTCCTTGAGACTTCCTTTGCCTCTTCTTTGATTAAAGCCTTGTTTGCCTCGCCTCCCGCTTTTTTAGCAATTACCCTAATTAAGCTAATTTTTCTTTGTTCTCGCTTTGCAATTTGCATAAATGGCAAATTTATATATAGTGTCCCTAATTCTCCTGTAACTGCTCTGCAATTAACAGGATGCTCAGCCTAAATATAAATAAGTGCAGAAGGAAAAACAGCCTTCTGCTAAAATACCGATAAAGCCTGAGAGAAAAGGAAGGCAGAAAGAAATAGACAATTCTAAGCCCCGTTCTAAACTCATTATGCTTGATTGGGTCACAGTTGGAGGACACTAGCAAAAGGTCAGCTGCTGTGCCGGTGTCTCTCAGAGAGTCTGCCTCGGGAGCGGTTGCACGGCACAATTTGGGCCATTAGTTTGCAAATAAT